TTTCTTGTGGGTCATATCTAGAGAAAAATTTTTTACAAGTGCCTTGTTTCACTGTTAATGACTGATACATCTTCAGCCCATTTTCCCCAAGGAAAATCTGAGCTCCATAGACCTTTTTATTTTCTAATTTTTTAAAACAAGCCTTAATGAGTAAAATTCTAGAACATGCTTTTAAAAACAGCACTATTGTGCCCTGGGGCTTAGTAGTAGACTGCCTACTTAGCATGAGACAGACCTTGGGTTTGATCTTTAGCATCACAAAAATAAAGTAAATAAATAAAAACAATCCTTATAATCCACAAAAAGGAGCTTGAGAAAGGTAACACTCTAGTTCTCCTGCAGTCACAGATAAGTACCACTCTACAAATTGAATCAAGATAAAATAAGTTGATCAGGGGTTGAAATAGAAGTCCCTCAAGGATCTGCTCTTGATTTGGGGATTGTACTGGCTGATTTTGTGTGCCAACTTGACACAAGCTAGAGTCATCAGAGAGGAACTCAGTTGAGGAAATGCCTCCATGAGATCCAGTTGTAAGGCATTTTCTTAATTAGTGATCAATGGGGGAGGGTCCAGCCCATGGTGGGTGGTGCCATCCCTGGGCTGGTGGTCCTTAGTTCTATAAGAAAGCAGGTTGAGCAAGCCATGGGAAGCAAGTCAGTAAACAGCACCCTTCCATGGCCTCTGCATCAGCTCCTGCCTCCCTTCGATGATGAACAGCAATATGGAAGTGTAAGCCAAATAAACCTTTCCTCCTCAGCTTGCTTTTTGGTCATGGCATTTCATCACAGCAATAGAAACCCTAACTAAGACAGGGGTGACAAAATTTCTGTTAATATTTGTATCCATCATATAAGTTCCCTATATCTTTGTCTGTAACTGTGTGCCCTTGAACAAAGGGATCTTGTTAAGATTCCAAGACTTCAGCTGTCAGTGCTGTTATCTTGTAAAAACAAACCTGCAATTCTGTCTGGCTCCATTATTCAATCACCCTTTACCCTGGTAATAATGTTATAATCGATATTTCCTTTGTTCCTACATGGCATACTCATAGGATTCCCTGTGGATGAAGGTTGTCGGCATTTTTTTTCTCCCATACATTAAGGTATTCAAACGACTTAACAGATTCCTTATTTAAACAAAGAATGAGAATCTGGTTTTATTTATCACTGCCTGATATAATTTACTTATCTGTCTTGTCAGTTTCCCTGAGTTATCAGTCCCATAAAGGAAGTTTTTTTTGGGGGAGGGGAGGGGAGGCAGATGAGACAAGTGTCTAGCCTTGAACTCATGGTAACCCTCCTGCACATTGGGATTAAAGGCTTCAGTCACACACATCTCGATGCTACTGTTGTTTTGAGATAAGGTACTTCTATGTAGCCCAAGTGGACTTTGAATTCATGGCAACCCTGCTGCCTCAGAATCCTGAGTGTTGAGAAGGGCAGAAACTTTTGTCTAATTTCTTAGCTGCTAGGTCTTCAGGACACCAGACAGACATGAGCTAACAGTAGATGACCAACAAAGATCTACTCAGACAATCAATAAATGAAGTAAAAGATGAATTTCTAGTAAGTACTAACAGGACATTAAAGAAAATTAGGCATCACCTTCTAGCATCTATTTCAAATGCTAGGACCAGGGAAGACTATCTAGAGATGATGCCTGAGGAAGGAGTGCTGGGCAAAGCCCAGGTGAATCTCAGCATTGCAACTTTTGAAGCACTGGAGGCTAAGCCAGGAGACTGAGCAGGAGGGGCCTGTGGAAGAAGAGGACAAGCAGAGGCGGCCCTGGCACATCCATTCTGTGATCTCTCAGATATGGCCTCATTTGGTCACAATCACTTTCTCTTATTTTGTCTATTTTTTTTCACCTATATACAGACTTCTGGATTTCTAGTCTCTAGTATAGCTTCTTAGGAACAGGCTCATATTCTTGTTCTTAAAAAATACATTTATTTATTTATTTGGTTTTTGTGTGAGTAGGTTAGAAGACAACTTGTAAGAGTTGGTTCTTTCCTCCTACCATTGAATCCCAGAGACTCAGGTTGTCAGGTCTGATTGTAAGTGCATTTACCCACAGAGCCATCTTGCTGCTCCCTTTTTATTTTACTAGGTCAGAGAACAACTTTTGAGAGTCAGTTCTCTCCTTTCAACAGGTATGTTCTGGGGATGGAAAACTTGTGCCTAGTTCACTTAACTGCTGAGCCATCTCATCTGACCTACACGTGATTTTGTGTTCATTTTTTAAGATAATAGGGTTATGTAGCTCACACCACCCTTGAATTAAATAGCGAATGATGATCTTGAACACCTGATACTCCTGCCTCCACCTCCTGTGTGCTAGGATTACAGGCATGCACATTTGTTTTACATACATATTTATATGCTTGATTACATAACCTCTCAGACACTGTCATTCACTCAGGGTGTCATTGTCTCTGCCACTGATCTCCAGCCTCATTAGTCTCCTACTAACAGACAGACAGACAGACAGACAGACAGACAGACACACACACACACACACACACACACACACACACAGCATCATGTGTTATAGTCTGTCTCATTTGGTTAATATCACCAGTACTTTCTCTCACTAGGTCAGTTTTACCACATGTATAAGCACAGTTCTACCATCACAGGAACTATTTCTTTCTTTTGACCTAAAATTTTCTTTCTTTTTTCTTTTTTTTGTTTTTTCGAGACAGGGTTTCTTTGTATAGTTTTGGTGCCTGTCCTGGATCTCGCTCTGTAGACCAGGCTGGCCTTGAACTCACAGAGATCCGCCTGGCTCTGCCATTTAACCCCATGAGTGCTGGGGTTAAAGGTGTGCAACACCACCGCCCGGCTCTAACATTTTCTTACATGCACAATTACTTTTGTACAGTCACCACTAAATAAGTTTCATGACGTTTCTTGCACATATAAAATCACCCTTCTCTCTTAAAACCACTTAGGTCACACCTCCAAGAATTGCCTATTATAGAGTTACAGCCTCCTCTGAAGAACTGTTACATGAACACACAAAGGCATAGTACCTCAGACACCTCATCTTCCTCATGCAGTAATGAATTTCTTCTCAATCACCATTCACCATGCCAACTCTTTTATTCACAGAGCTGTGTTTTGTTTTGAGACAGGGTTTCACTCTGTAGCCTAGGCTGGCTTCAAACTCACTATGTAGCCTTCAACTCATGGTAATCCTCCTACCTCAGTCTCTGAGTGCCAGAACTGGAGGTATGAACCACCATGTCCAGCAAAGAGTTTCACATACAGCTTCTTAGACACTTGGTCCACTCACCATTCAGTCTCACCATCATTTCCCCTGAGTCCCTTCTGATATACAAGGTCACTAATTCACAATTGCTACAAGGCTTTCATTAACTCTCCTGTGATCAGTTTCCCATGCCCTGGTCAAACACACCATCATTTTCCTCATACAGTCAGCTATCATGGATACATTTGTACATTTAATAGCCTCCAAGTTTCTCACATACCCTGATTGTGGTCATATAGTAGTTCACTGTCTCAGTCTCATTTTGTTTTCCATACATAAGGTTTGATTCAGTTTCATGAAATGTTTCAGACTTACATACTTTTCAGACACCATTTGGTTGTCAAGTTTCTCTCTCATAACTGCTGACTATGAGTCCTTGCTACTGCTGGCCCCATGTGAACAGTCCTTTCCTCCTCCTCACAGCCAGGTTTGTGTTTCAGCTCCTCAGCCTTACCAGAACCTGTGGGGAAGCTGCAAATGTTAATTGCAAACCAGTCCACCACTCACTAGACTCAGGGTCACAGCCCCCGCCCCTCCCCCCCCCCCCTCTCTCACACACACACACACACACACACACACACACACACAGCCTTTCAGACTTAGCAGCCACAGCCAATCCAGTTCTCAGTCTTTCCCATGATTTCTATAAAACACTGCATACAAATAGTCTCACACCTTGTACCTTGTGTCTTATCAGTCACTTCTTGGGCCTCATGGTCATTTTCTTTCACACAATCAACTTCTTACACACATACTTCCATGACTTAATTTCACACACAAACTATTTCTCAAATGCTGAGGATTGCCTGATACTAAACAGTGAGATTTCTCATCTACAAATGGTGGTCCTTGACAATCTCCACCAGTTTCCTGCCCACACTTTCACCCACGGATTTGGTCACTCAGTCTGCCCATGCTATCAGCCTGTCAAACAGTGTCTAATTTGCAGTCTCCACTCTCTACCTATAAACAGTATGTTGTATAGATCATTGCAGGTTTTTGTTTTGAGACAGGATCTTGCTATGTAACCTAGACTGTTCTCAAATTCACAAGCCTTTTGCCCCAGCTTCTGCTGGGATATAGGTATCCCACACCTGGCTCTTACATAATATCCAATTATTCATTCAGTCTTAGTTGAGTTTCTGAAATACAGCCACAATTTCTCACATAGACACACTGTCAAATGCAGTTGGGACTGGAGGAATGGCCTAGTCAATAAAACACTTGCTTTGCAAGCATGAGAACATGCATTTGGTCCCCAGAATGCAGGTAAAAATTCCAGGCATAGAGAAACACATGCTTGTAGTTAAAGAATTCTGAGGTGGAGACAGGTGGATTCTTGTGGCTTGATGGCCTGCCAGTGTATCCTAACTGGTAAAGTCTAGGCCAATGTGATACCCTGTCTCAAAGGAGGGGGACAGTGTTCCAGAAGACAACACCCAAGGTTGTTGTCCAGCCACCACATACAATACCATGCACACATATGCACAAAAATGTTTGTGGTCACACTTCTGACCTGTCACACACAAACCTACAACTTTTCAGTTTCTCTCACCACACTGGTTATCAATCAGCAGTCTGTATCAAGTGTTTCTGACATACGCCATCATTCTGCTTGTTTCACAGTTAATCTCCACCTCCCCCTTACTGTTCTTCACGAACATTCATGACTGTCATAGCTCATTCTGCTGACACCAGGAGAAAAAATACCAACAGCTTTCAGTAACACCTTTAAAAATATATATTTACAGGAACAATTCCCCAATCTCTGGGACTCTTAGAAAAAAAAAGGTCCATTTTGGGGAAGTAAAACAAACAGTGGAGACGAGTGTAGCACCGTCCCCCAAATCACCAACCCACAGGTCTTCAGGCCTGGTCTGGGTCAGTGCTGACAGGAGGTGAGCCTGGGAGTTTTTTGAATCCAACCCCTCCAGCCTAGAATTGATACAAGACAGGCTTCATGTCCCCCATTCCTCCCTCCCAACTCCAGGGACACTTAAAAGGGTCCTTTGTACCCGCCCGCAGGAAATTGGGGGGCTGGGAGGGAGGGAGCTGAAAATACACGTTTGGTATCAAAAATAAACACTTGGGGTTGGCAGGAAGACCGCCTCCAAATCCCTTACTTCCCACCCACCCGCCTACCCACCCATCAGATACAGGAAGAGATGCTTCCCTCTCCCTTATTGAAAAGCCCCATTTAAAAATAGATTATACTATCAAAATGGAAGAGGATGGGAGACAGAGAGCCCTGGAGAACTGGCTGGAGGGGCCCCCCAGACGGGGACCACCACCCCAAAAAACCCTCCATTGGGAGGTAATAGGCAGGCCCCCAGGGATTTGGAGACAAAGGAATGGCTTCTCAGGGGGAAGAACAATAAAAGGAATATTCCTCCCTGGCCAAAAGGTTACTTGAGAAAAGAACAAGCTGACTGAGAGGGTTGGGGAGGTAGCAATTCCTATTTTAACAATGTGATTCTTCCCTAGTTACAACTCCCAAACCATTAAATCATACAAGTGCTCCCTGGACTCAGATATATGGCCAGGAATAATAAAACAAAACAAACTAGCTCTTCAACCCATGTTCCAAAATAAAAACAGGGAACCCTTGACTCCCCAAGGGCAGGCTGAGAAATAAATAAAGAAAGGTCCTTATCAAGCCATACCCTGATTGTCTTGTTTTAGGGAAAAAATGGGGAGGAAATGGGGTAGATGTCTTACCCACTCTCCTAAAAGGGTTAGGCCAGAATCTTCCCAGCGGCCTTCAAAAAATAAATAAATAAACCGCCCCTACCATTGAAGTAGGAGACGTGTAAAGGCGGCCACTGGGAGGCTGGCAAAAAAGAAAGAAGTTGTCTGTTTTGGGTGGAAGTTAGTGAAAGATCCTCTTTCCCAGGAATATCCACCCCATCACAACCAAAGCACGAGTCTTTCAGTTGAATTATGTTTCTCCTTGAGATGGCTAGCTGGAGAGTTCAGGAGCATGAATGGAGAGACTCCAGAAAGGGGGTGTTGGTGTAAGTCATGGCTTCTGGGGCCCTGGGGAGAGCACCACGGGGGTTGAGAGGCCATCCACACTGATGGAAGGGATGTGCACCTGTGCGCTGCCACTGGACGGAAACTGGGGGAAGAAACGAGAGGTCATGGATGAGAACCATGCTAGTGACTCTCACCCTTTCCAACATAGGGAGGAGAGAATCCTACCTGGAAGGAGAGCTTGGCTGGACTACGGGGTGCAATTGGACTCAGAGTGCTCCAGAAATGAATGCTGGGGGGCAGCGAGCTGGGTGTCAGCAGCACCGGGGTCTATGGAGATGGAGTGGCAGGAACTCAATGACAAGTATGGGAAGATGGAAGGAACCTACTTTCAGCCCCTCTACACATATCCCCCTCAGACTTCCATGGTCACTCCTCAAAAGTTCACAGACCTAGAGTAAAAGTACTAAGACTTATATGACATCTCTCAACCTTTACAAAGACCAGTCCTGCTAACCCCTAGGAGCCCACCTCCTGTTATTGACACTTCAATGGGCAAGACTACCCACCAGATTCTATCTGTGCACTGCTCTCAAACCTTGTAAGTGACCATTAGAAGAGCTCAACTTACCACTTTTACATTCCATTCATATAACTCACTAGGGAAACCCAATGCGCAAACTCTAGGCCAAATAACCAGGCAGTTCCTCAGCTGTACCCTCTAGAAGCAAATCCAATGGAAAGCCCTAGGGAGTCAGGCTGCCACAAAGTCCTCAGACCTGCCTTTCTTCTTTTTTGAGACAGGGTTTCTCTGTGAAGCTCTGGCTGCCCTGGAACCCGCTCTGTGGACCAGGTTGACCTTGAACTCACATTGAGATCCACCTGCCTCTGCCTCTGCCTCCCTGTGCTGAGATTAAAGGCATGAGCCACCACAGTCTGACTGACCTGCCCTGTTTAATTAGCTCCTCAGAGCAGCTAATTACATTTGTCACCTGTGCCAATGTCACCCAGCCAGGCTGCCAGCCCTTGTTCCTTTGCAAGGCACTCACCAAGGTATGTGTGGGTAGCAGGGATGGCGTCAGTGCTGGCCCTGGTGCCTGCAGACCAGAGCCTGTTCCTGATCCTGGAGTTCGTTCGGGTCCTGGGCCACCCAGCAGGCTTGGGCTAAGTGGAAGTTCCAGGTCCCGGGGCTTCCGGCCTTTCTGGGGTTGGGCAATCTCATTGGCAGAGGCAGAGAGGCCACACACCTGTGCTGTATTCTCCATTAGAACGGCTGGGAGCCGAGCCAGCAGGCCTTCGGAAGGCGATACTTCTGGTTCAGCTTTGACAGTTTCTGAACCAAAGCCCGCAGCTCCTACAGCTTCCAATTCTTCCCTAGGCTCCTCCACTTTCACTTCTGGGGGCAGTGGACGGCCAAAACCTGGCTCCAGACTCAACTCTTCTGATTTCTGGTTTGGGGCCTCAGGTGGGGTCAGGATAACCTGGGAGAGGAGTGGGCACAAAGGGAACGCATAGGCGTGTAGAATGTTTTCCTGTGGGTCATCCAAGGATATCTCTAGGAAGACATTTGATATTGGGGGCAAGGCTGTATGTACATACAGCATGTCCTCTAACTTAATGAAGTGGAGATCCTCTGGGGCAGTGGCCCTGGGGTGAGACAACTTGACAGGGATGAGACTCTAGACTAGAAGTACCACTGTCATTCATTCTCATACCCACATTAATCAGAAACTCTGGAAATGGGTCCAGACAATCTGTGCCTTAGGGTCATCCTGGTGATTCTGATGAATGCTAAAGCATGGCAACCAGGTGCATTAGATGTGACCATGTAAGGGACTAACTGTGCAAGAAATGCAGAACTGTCCTCCCCATCCTTTTCTCTGGGGGAACTTGTGTCCCCACTTCCACCATTACATCCTTTAGCAGGACACCTATATTTATTCTACTAGTTTTGTGCTTCATTTCAGAATTATGCATCCTTCCTCTCCAAGGCCTTTACTAAATTTCCAAATTCTAGTACTCACCTGCAGGGGCAGACCAGCTTCTTCGGCTTCTAAACAGGCTTCTAAGGGGTTTGGACTGGTGCTCCTGCTCCCTGAGGGGGGTGCTGGTACTCCTGCAGGGGTAGTGTTGGGGAGCACTGAGGCAGGCCGAGGATGAAGGGGTGGCTGTGGCTGTGGCTGCAGGGACTGGATTGTGAAGGTAGAATAGAGGCCCGAGCGCATGTATTCATTCCGGCTGCTGCGTGCTAAACCACCTTGGCCTGCCATTCCTGCACCCTTGGGTGTTAGTGGCTTTCCAGTGGCAGTGTCCCCTGGGGCTGCATGGATAGCAGCAGGGGCCATTGCTACAGTCGAGGCTACAGACACCTCAGGCTGAGGTGGGCAGTCTTCAGTGGAGCACCCTGCAACCTCTGGGTAGGACACAAACTTGTAGACAAACTTCTGGCCGCTCACCTTTCGGATGATGTTCTGAGAAGTGAAGAACAGGGTGGATGGAGGGTCTTGAGGGCTGTTTCTCTTCTCCTGGTGTCTTTCTTCCTACTTGCTCCCATTTCACTCATCTTTTTTAGGCTTGTGGATTCTTCCTCTCTGTCTATGCTTTCCTTTTTCCCCTCTCTGTGTCTCTCCCCAGTTTCAACTCCTTCTCTGGGCCCCCTCAACAATTCTTTAGTGTCTCTTCCCATCCATCTCCCTTCAAGTCTTCTTCTGTCACTCATCTTCATTCACCTAACTCCCCTCTTCCCACTGGCTACATTTCACAAGGGACCAATTTAGGGGAGCAGGTGAGAACTATGGACCTGGGCTTAACAGAGTCAGGAATGTTAACAAGACTGTTTTGGAAATTAACTACTTCAATAGGAAAATGAAATAACTGATATACATGTTGGAAGAGTCTAAATTATTATAGATGAATAGGGAGATAAAATGACTGATATAGAGGGTTTTCATAACAATTTATTGATTGACTATATGTGGGAGGGGAATTAGTGTGACTGACTCATGTGGTGGCATGAGTATGCCATAGTATATGTAAAGGTCGAGGACAACTTGCAGAAGATGGTCTCTCCTTCCAGTATGTAGGTCCTAGGGAATGAACTCAGGTTCTCAGGCTTGGCAACAAGAGCTAAGCCACCTCAATGGCCAGATAGAGTGGATTTTTTAAAGCTAGTGATGCTGATATGGAGTAGGGAAAGTGTTAGCTATTTGTTTTTGTTAACTCTAGCTTAGAGTCATCTGGGAAGAGGGAACCTCAACTGAGAAAAAATGCCTCTATCAGATTGTCTTTAGGCATGTCTATAGGCATTTTCTTGCTGTGGGTGGTGCCATCTCTGCGCAGGTGGTCCTGGGCTGTATAAAAGAGGTAGCTGAACAAGCTATGAAAGGCAAACCAGTAAGTAGTGTTCCTCCATGGACTTGGCTTCAGTTCCTGCCTCCAGTTTTCTATCTTGACTTTCTCCATGAAGGAGTGTAACCTGTAAGATGAAGTACACCACCACCCCCCCCCCCCCACCCCCACCCCCCCCCCCACCCCCCCCCCCCCCCCCCCCGGCAATAGAAGGCACACCAGGATGCCTGTTGTGGTGGTGCATGCCTTTAGTCTCAGCACTTGGGAGGTAGAGGCAGGGGGATCTCTGTGAATTTGAGGCCAGCCTCATCTACAGAGTGAGTTCCAGGACAGCCGGGGCCACATAGAGAAACCCTGTTTCAAAAAAACAAACAACCCCCCCCACAAACAAACAAACAAACAAACAAACAAACAAACAAAGCACACAAGACAGAAATACCAGAGAGGGCTATTGCTGTGATAGACCTGACCATGTTATTTGGAAAGGAGTGCAATAGCACCTGGAACTTTGGGCTGGAAGAGCTTACTGTTCAGAGCTTCAAATGAGCTGTAGAGGGAACTTGGAAGATAATGCTGAGAGCAGTGCAGATGATGGGCTATGAACTTTCAGAGGGAAGTTTGAGAGTCCCTTAAAGTCTCATGATATTCTGTTAAGAATCGGTGGTTTCTGGTAAGCTGGAAGTGAAGAATTAGTTGTGATTAACAAGAGACCAGCACAACTGCAGTGAAACCTTTGCTTTACTGGGACAATTGATGCTGATTAACAGAGGCTGGAAAAATCAGCTGTGAATAAGAAGAGATCAGGAACACTGAGGTGAAATATTTCAAGAAGTGTTTCCTTAGGGTCAGTGCACAGAAGCTGTGGTCCATAGGGGGCCAAGGATACATATTATGCTGGTAGCTGAACTTGGCAATGTGTAAGTCTTCCACATGGTATCTGGTTTAGTGGCATGAAAGCTGCATTACTGAAGGGGTTATGGAGAGCAGCTGAGGCTTGGTACTGTGAGAGGCCAGGAGAGGTCATTGGTGAAGGTGCAGTTTCAGTTGCAATAGATGTTCCAGGATTGAAAAGATCGTGGAGAGAAGCTGGGGCTTGGCACCATATGATAGGGTTGGAGTCCCCACAGAGAGGCTAAGAGGCCTGTGGTGAAGGTGCATCCACAGTTGCAGTGGAGACTCCAGCCTACTGGAGAAGCAAAGACTACTGGTAGTGGAACTACCAGTAAGGATGGTGACAAGTGTGATGTGGAGCTAGCCTCTGCCTAGGAGACAAGCTGTATATGCTACAGATGGTGCAGCTGGAGAAGTAGAGCTGCCCAAAAGAGCCTAAAAGATTATGAGTGAGTCCCAGATGCCAGATGTTCAGCGACAGGATTTAATTTAGACTGCTGGAATTTGGTCTTGTTTTGATTTGATTGTAACCAGTTCTTCTCTTTTGGAGTAAAAGTAAGAAAGTATTTAACTTGCTTTTTATTTTATAGGCTCTCACAGTTGAGAAACATTGGATATTTTAAAATGATACTGAACCTTTAAAGTGTTTAAAAGACTCGGACTTTTAAAGTTATATTATGCTTTATATTGTGATATTGATATTAACATGACATCTTGAGGATAAATAAGAAGTTAAAGATTATACTTTAATAGTGATGCATTAGTGTGTCAAGTTGACAAAAAGGGTCAAATGTCCTGGTCAGTTTTTTGTCAACTTGATACAAACTAGAATTATCTAGGAAGGACCCTCAATTGAGAAAGTACCTCCATCAGATTGCCCATAGGCATGTCTGTGGGGGCATTTTCCTGATTAATGATTTGATGTAGTAGGGCCCAGCATATTCAGGGTGTTACTACCCCTGGGCAGGTGGTCATAGGTTGTATAAAAAAAGCATGCTGAGTGATCCATCGAGGAGCAAGCCAGTAAGCAGCCTTCCTCTATGGCCTCTGCTTTAGTTCCTGCCTCCAGGTTCTTGCCTTGACTTCTTCCCCTGGCTTCCTGCAATAATGGACTGTGACATGGAACTGTAAGGGAAACAAACCCTTTCCTCTCCAAGTTGCTTTTGGTCATTGTGTTTATCCTAACAAGAAAATAAACTAGGATAGAAATATCACTAAAGAGGACAGGAAATGTCTCATTTTTTAGTACCATTCTGGATATTTAAGCTAAAGCACTAAGAAAATGAGGTAACTGGCAGTAATTACAGAAGAGCATGAGAAGCTGGCGTAAGCATGAGGAGTAGGGTAGCAAGGTTTGCTTGGCTGGGTCAGAAAGCATGCTTTGTGGTATCTTAGGACACTGTACAGGGTAGTTTTGTGTGTCAACTTGACACAAACTAGAGTCATCAGAGAGGAAGGAGTCTCAGTTGAGGGAATGCCTCCATGACATCCAGCTGTAAGGCATTTTCTCATTTAGTGATCAATGGGGTAGAGTCCAGCCGTGGGCTGCTGATCCTGGGTTCTATAAGGTAGGTTTATCAAGTCAGGGGAAGCAAGCCAGTAAGCAGCTCGCCTCCATGGCCTCTGCATCAGCTCCTGCCTCCAGGATCCTGCCCTATTTGAGTTCCTGTCCTGACTTCCTTCAGGGATGAACAGCAATGCTGAACTGTAAGCCTAATAATAATAAACCCTTTCCTCCCCAACTTGCTCTTTGGTCATGAGGTTTTGTCACAGCAATAGAAACCCTAACTAAGACAGACACATATGGTTTGGAGGGTTCCAGGGATGTCCTGGTGGTCTGAGAAGACCAGAATGAGGAAGAGTAATTAATATTGCTTTAGAGGATTGAACTGAAAGAGTACTGTATGAAATTGGAATATATGCCATAAACTATCAAAGACACAAATCACAGGTGAGAATTATCTTGTTCGGGGAGAGAATGAGGAATCTGAGGACACTAGGTATTTTGGTAGAAGTCTTAATGCTGGTCAAGTATTTCACAGGGTATCCTTGTGTTTTTCAGAAAAGGAATGAAAAGGGAAAATTATTAACATTGTTTTGAAGATTTACACTGAGGAAATATGAAATAATTAGCATAAATATTGGGGGAGGGGAATATAATGCAGATCTGAGAGTGAGTGTAAGATGAGAAAATCTAAAAATTGAGTTGCAATAGTGATATAGACAATGAGGTGCTCGCTGCTCAAGGAATCTAAGAGTAGTGAGCATGGAACTGGCACTACACATGTTGTTCTGGAGCATTTAGTTAAAGGCAAAGGCTTGTAATCCCAGCACTCAGAAGACTAAGGCAAGAGGAATGCAAGTTTGCGGCCACCCTCAGCAACACCAAGAGACCTGCCTCAAAAATAAAAACAAAACAAAGGAACAGGAGGAAACAAAACAATTGATAAAGATATTGGGGGTTCTAGAAAATGAAGTATGGAACCTTAGTATTATGTCAGGATGATTTTGAGTCTAGGAATAAGAATATGGATTGTTTTGTAGTAGAGAAGATTATATATAAAGTAACCAGGGGAACACATTAGTCTGAGGGTTCCAGAAAACACATTATCTCAAAGCTGGCAGTGAACTAAAGGCTGGGTCAAAAATTGGTAAATTTTAATATGTTTTTCAAAGTTATAGCTATAGTAATTGAGACAACAAAATGAAATTTCTAGGCCAGAAGTGTAATTTCAGGAATTGGGGGGTAGGAGACAGGACAGTGAATTTGAGGACAGCTTAGGCTACATAGTAAGTTTCAGACAAATCCGGACTACATTGTGAGACCCTGCCTCAAAAGGAAAAAACAGAGAGGAGTTTTCTGGTAGTAATTTCAAGGGTTTCCAGTCCTGGTCTCTGAGGCCATACCTTGTCATAGTAGTACCGCAAGGCCCGGCTGAGCTTGTCATAATTCATGTTGGTCTTATTCTTGCGCAGCCCCCATAGACGGGCCACCTCCTCTGCATCCACCAACTTGAACTCACCACCATCCCGTGAGGTCCAAGAGATGATGTGGCCATTACCTTGTTCTCTCAAAAGCTGCAGCAGAAACTGCCACAGCGTCACAGATGGGTCCATCACTAGTGAAGCACTCACGCCATTCCAGGGGTACCTGGAGGACAGCAAAAGTGATTTCTTTGTTACCTTGCCTACACCTCTGTTCCCAAATCCCACTACTATCCCCTAAACAGTGCCCTAAACTCCCTCATGTAGCTTTGGATGTCCCTTGTACTTCACACATGGGACAAAAGTGGAATTAAAAGATATTTATGTATGTCTGTGTGTATGTGAACATGTGTATGCCAAGGGAGACAAGAAGAGGGCAATGGATCCCCTGTAACTAGAGTTACAGGCACTTATGAGCTGTCCAACACGGGTTTGGGGAACTGAACTCGGGTTCTCTGTGAGAGCAGCAAGCACTCTTTACCATTGAGCCATCAGTCCAACCCTGACAAATGTGTATCATTAGGGGCTAGAGGGAAGACAGGATAATACAACCTGAGCCCCAAAGAGTTCCATATCCTAGTTGGAGTCTGACTATGTTATGCTACATAGCAAAAAGGAATTCTGAGATGAAATTAAGTTTACAGACCTTAAAATACAGCAATCACTCGGGTTTTATTTGAGTTCAACTGCACTGTATGAGCTCTTTTTTTTTTTTTAAAAAAAGATTTATTTATTTATTATGTATACAGCATGTTTGCCTACAGGCCAGAAGAGGGCACCAGATCTCATTACAGATGGTTGTGAGCTACCATGTGGTTGCTGGGAATTGAACTCAGGACCTCTGGAAGGGCAGCCAGTGCTCTTAACCTCTGAGCCATCTCTCCAGCCCCTGTATGAGCTCTTTTAAAAGCAGACAAATAAGGCTGAAACAGATTACAGGCAGAATGGCAGGAGAGGCAGTAGATTCCAAACATCAGAGGGATTTTCCCTGCCATTCCTGACTCTGGAGAAGGCTCCAAGACAAGGAAGTTGGGCAGCTTCACAAACCTGGAATGACCCTCAGCCTACAGCCAGTAAGGAAACATCAGTATTACAATTCAAAGGGCAACCTGAAAGAACAGGAAACAATTCTCTAAAAAAGGACTAAAGTCCTCCCATGACATTAATGTTAGCCTGGTGAGAACAGTGTTGGATTTCTGAGCTACAGAACTATCAGATGATAAATGTGTAATTTTTTTTTAAAGACAGGGTCTTACTATGTAGCCTAGGCTGGTCTTGAATTCTCTTGTCTCAGCTTCATGAGTACTGGGATTGCAGGTGTGCACCTATACAAATGTGTAGTTTTAAGGAGATTAAGCTAATTTATACAGCAGTACTAGAAAACTAGTGAAATGTCCTTGACTGGACTCATATCAGTATCTTCTACCCCATTAACTTTTCCAGGATGTGCCTTTTGCTAGCCCCTTGTAAACACTGTTTACTGCATATGGAGCTCACTCAAAGGTCCTTTGTTTTATGAAGCCTTCCAAATCTGAATACCTACACTTTTCTGTCCCTCAATCCCCCATTTTTCTAACCTGTGACTATCCCTGTATGGTTTAGGCTTTTAAGAAATGTTTTCTTGATGAGCACAAATTAATTATACATTATAATGGGTTTCATTATAACATTTCCATTATAACAATTTTGATTACATTCACCTCAATTACCCTATCCTGCTCCCCTCCCTCCCTTCCCACTGATCACCTTCTTCTTCCCAACTACGCCTCTTTTTACTTTATGACTTTTTTTTGTGATCCAATGAGTTTCAGTAGAGTTGCTCACAGGGGCATGGGTGAGGGTTTGTTTCAGGAGCACAGACACCTTATCAGTGGCTATACCACTGAAGAAAATGTCTCTTGCTCTTCCAGTAAATATTAAAGGCCTAAAGACCCTCAGGAAATGGTGGGGCCATATGAGTCCTTCTAGTTTTTTCCCCCCTTTTTGTTTGCCATTGTTGCTGTTGTTTTGTGACAGGATCTTATGTAGTTCAAGCTGTCTTTAAATTCTTGATGTTGGGGAGCTGGAGAGATGGCTGTTCTTCCAGAGGTCCTGAGAACACTCACTGTTCTTCCAGAGGTCCTGAGTTCAATTTCCAGCAACCACATGGTGGCTCACAGCCATCTATAATGAGATCTGGTGCCCTCTTCTGGCATGCAAGCATACTTGGAGGCAGAATGTTGTATACATAATAAATAAATAATCTTTTAAAAAAATAAATTCTTGATGCTATTGCCTCCATCTCCTGAGTGCTGAGATTATACATATCCCACATATCCCAGCATACAAGGCAGCTGCTTCTTTCTTCAGTGCTGGAGATCAACTTCAGGGCCTTATGTATGTTAAGTACATGTTTTTAATCACACAGCTTCACCACAAACCTATGCCTTTCTTTAAACAAACATGTAAACTATTATGTTAGGCACTGCTCTAAGCAGAAAGGCTGGCCTACTGGACAATCAACCTCGGTCTAATGCTAGACTTCTATGGTTTGAATCCTGGGTCTGCAAGTTATTAGCTGTGTGATCCTGGCCATATTCATTAACTTCTTTGTACCTCAAATTTTCTCATTTGTGAAATAGGGATAGTGATACATCCATCTATAAAATAGTGAGTATGTAGCATTATTATTGTGTGAATTAAATATAACATGCTTGGGGTAAAAGCTTTAAGTGTTTTCTAATTTGTTCATAAATCCTTTTTCTGCTATCTCTGAATCCAAAAAGCTCTAAGAACAAAAAGCTTTTTTTTGTAATTCTTTTGGCAACAAAACATGATTTGAAAGAAAGCAAGCTCATTCTGGTTTTTATTGATCCTTGCTTAGTGTGAATGTTCATACATTCTGCTGCAGAGATCTGAAAGCAGCTGGTGACAGAGCTGGCTGAGCGCATTATGTAACATATCATATGTGCACCCTGCTACCTTTCTGAACTGAAAAATTCGCATTTCTTAAATACATCTGGTCTCTGGGGGTTTGGATAAAGGCATGGGCTGTTATTTTTATAGGCATTGACTCACTTATCTCTCATCCCAATTCTGGAAAGTAGGGACTTTTTTCCTTTTGGAAAGGAGGTATTATTATAATATCACTAATTTATACACAAGGCAGATAATTTATACACTGAGGCAAAAGATGTCCAAGTGACTTCACTATGCTACACTGCTGTAAGTGACAGTTCCAGGGATCTAAGTGGTTCTGTTGTTCATTTTTAGAGACAGGGTCTTATATAGCCTAGGCTAGCCTAAAACTTGCCACACAGAGGATGATCTTGAACTCCTGATTTTCTTGTCTCTACCTCCCTAGTACTAAAATTACAGGCATGGCTTCACCATGACCAGCTTCAGGGGTCTGAGCATTTAACCACCTGCAGGAGTCTGTATCAGGTCCTTTGAGTACATATTACAGCATCCAGTTTAGTGTTTTTATGGGATTCCTTAGTATTTAAATGAATGGGTCCCTGTTTCTTGGGTCTTCTCTTGGGCTACTTTCTTTCTGATTGTTTTGTCCAGTTGCAATGTGCTAGTTTTTGTTTTATTTTATTACAATTTATTATTATCCCTTAGAAGCCTGCTTCTTTTCTTTTCTTCCCTTCCTTTCTTCCCTTCCTTTCTTCCCTTCCTTTCTTCCCTTCCTTCCTTCCTTCCTTTCTTTCTAAGACAGGGTTTCTCTGTGTAACATCCATGGCTGTCCTGGAATTTGCTTTGTAGACCAGGCTGGCCTCCAACTCACAGACACCTGCCTGCCTCTGTCTCCAGAGTGCTGGAATTAAAGGTGTGCACTACCATACCTGCTCTGCCTGTTTGTTTTCTTATGACAGACAGAAAGGGAGTGGATCTGGATGGGAGAGGAGGTAGGAATGAACTGGGGTAAGAGGGAGGGGAAACCATAAGCAAAATATATATTATGTGAGGAAAAAAATCTATTTTAAATAAAAGGAAGTACAAAACAAAACAAAATATCACCTCAACTAATTACTTCCTTTAGGCATGCCTTTCAGAGGAAGGATATTCCCTGTCATCCCATCACTGCCCTTTCCAATAAGCAAAATGGAACTAACCTTCAACCTTCTAGTCCCTGTGAAGATGGGACTCCATCAACTAGCTGTCCACCTGGCTGGCATTGTTAGATTAAGAATAAACTTTCTTTTTTTTTTTTTTTGGTTTTTCAAGACAGGGTTTCTCTGTGTAGCTTTGCGCCTTTCCTGGAACTCACTTGGTAGCCCAGGCTGGCCTCGAACTCACAGAGATCCGCCTGGCTCTGCCTCCCGAGTGCTGGGATTAAAGGCATGCGCCACCACCGCCCGGCAAGAATAAACTTTCTTATTTGAAGAATTTATGATTTATATTTATAGCCTTATTCTTTAATCTGCATGAAATTACAGTATGATCCTCATATGTCTGAGCTAGTTCAAGGTTCATTTAGGACAGTGTTACACAGCTGTCCAAATTACAGTGCCAAGAAACAGTGGATCAGAGTCCCCTCCTCAGAGCTCTAACAGACTAAATATACCCAAGACTGACTTCTTTCAGAGGCCCTAAGACCAGTGTGACTCCTAGTGGCGAAGACAGGCAATTTCACCACCTCTTCTGAGCTATGCCAAAATCTAGCAGCTAAGTGAAATCTGCCCAATTAGTGTCCAGCCTATCAGACAGGGGGCTGAATTTGATTACTGCTTCTCTCACAAGAATCCTAGTCACCTACCCTTTCCAGAAGGCTTTCCTTTCACTCCTCACCTCATTCACTGGGTGCCTCAAAACAGCTTGGGACACAACAGACAGGAGCCCCTGAATGCTAGTGTAATTCACACATTTGTGGGGCAGTAAGAAATGTTTCAAAAAAGAAAAAAAAACACAACACAACACAACACAACATAACACAACCACTCTCCAAAAGGTGGATTGTATTATTGCCTACATTTTACAGACAAGTCAGTGAAGTATGGAGAAAGTAGTTAAGTAACTTGCCTAAGATCTCACCATTGGATGAGATGCTGTTTGATGGATGAATTCTGATTCAGCATTCCTAGCTACTCAAGACCAGTTCTCTATGAAGAAAACATAGATGGGCAAGATCCCAGAGTGACAAGAATGTGAATAGGACAGGCTTCCCTGACGAAGTGACATTTG